ACTGCTCCTGGAAAAAATAAACATGGAAAGCAGGTTTTAGARGGAGATAACCCAACCACTGAGGCTTTTGGGAATGGAAAAGGTGAAGGAAAAGCAGCAATTGGTGGCATTGGCTCAGCACAGGTCACAGGATATCAATGCAATTGCTGCCTAAGTGAGCCCAGGGTTTTACAGCAGCAGAAAAATCACTCTGGCTAGACTTTTAAAGGGATTATCACAGATTTTACAATTCAATTTCCTAGATTTGGCTTGTGGAGATAAAACAAACACACTCAAATGCTGGAATACAAAAGCAAAATGAAATTATGCAAAAAAGCACGGTTTCAAAAACGAAAGTGTTACTTCTTGGAACATCACCATTTATTCTGTGATCTCAGGTTTAAGATTAAGCAAGTCTCATGTAAGGAGTTTGTGCCAAAAAGCCTAAAAGTGACCAGGCTTATAGGCCACCTATTTAAATCTGGGTTTAGGATAAAGTATTCCTTCCCCAGTCGAGGACAGATGAGATGGAGAGTGGCAGCTCTGGTTTTAAGCTCAAACGTTCAGGACTTGTGCCACAACAGCTGCAATAATGGCCTGAGGAGGAAAAGGAATGGTCCAGGGATTCTTAAAATAGAATATGGGAAGCCTAAGTTGAAAGTCTTGGTGTTACGTGGATAAATTCCTTTAATGTCAGCTGTAAACTGATGAGGAATTGAGCACTCAGGCYGGATTTCAAATAAAAATGTAACAAAAACTGGAAAGGGAGGCTCAGAGAGGGCTCCCACTGCTGGGGTGAGTGGGGTTTGGATAACACTGATCTCCTAAGGTGGCAGAGGATGGAGATTTTGTGCTTTACAGAAGCAAAAGCACACTTTAGACCGAGCTAAGCCGGGCACCGRGCTAAGCCGGGCTCTGCTCTCCCCAGCTTTGTTAAAACCTGGGATGTTTCCTGTTCCTGGCAGCCCATTCCGTGTTTCCTGGTACCACCGTGTGGTGAAGGCAAGGAAAGGCTGTTAATCACTGTTAATTAACCTTAATCACGGCGTGTTAATGAGCTGAGCAGCCCAAATTTGGCACAAATCCGCGCGTCCAGGACACACCGGGAAGGTGCCAAATCCATCCTTCCCCTGCCAGGGTGCCTCAGATCCAGCTCAGATCCAGCTCACTTCTGAAATCGTGGATTTTTTATTTTTTTTATTTTTTTTTTTTTTGGAAGAGCAATTAATTCGGTATCAATGGAATTTCCCTCKGCAGGGCTTGGCAGAGGGAATTTAATTGGATTATGGAAACCTGGGCACCTCCAGCCAAAAAAAAMMCCCATCCACCAAACCACCCAACCTCTGCTATCACCTCGGAAATTGTGAGAAAAAAAGAATTTAATTGCCCAATTTTACAATCAGTCCTCGGGCTAAACTCAGAACTCCTAACACAGGAATCTCTGCAGCTCTTGTGCTGAGGTAACACTGAATTCCATCAAAAAAGCACCAAGATWCCACCTCATTAGAATAAAAACAAACAAAATCTGCCTGGGCAATGCTGAAATAGTAATTTAGAGGAACCAGATTAGCAGTAATTAATAGTAATTCCTCTCTAGAAGGAGACTGCCACATCCACCCACCTCTGAGAGCAGGGAGAACTGCTGCCTGGAGGGAAATTTGTTAAAAATCTGAAAGTAACCTCAGTGGGATAATAGAGTGAAAATAATTCTACTATCAAATCTGTTTTAAAGGGAAAACTAAAAATTTCATGTGGAGTTTATGAGTCCAGCAAAGAATTGTGGTATCTCCTCTACTCCTGGGCCATCTGCAGCCACCATGGGCCTGCTCCTTCTTCATTCTCCAAATGCTTTCTCCAGGCTGTTTTTTTTTGTCCCTAAGGCAATAAAATGTTTTTATTTGGAGGCTTTTAAAGCATTTTAAAAGGTCTCACATTTAGGAAGATTTCCCTAAAATTTTCTACTCCTGCCTCTTCTGCCACACCATAGATTTTCTGGCTCCTTTTTTAAAGAGGTGGTTAAAACGCAAAGAAAAAGGACAAAAGTTTTTAATAAAAGGTCTTTAAAAAGCCCAGTGTTTCACATCAGGAATCTTCTTATTAAAGCTCTTTATTAGCCTCAATCAAACTTTCCTCAGCCTCAGCTCCCCCTGTGGCATCTCCTTCCCATCTCTTATAAACAATGGGCTCCCTCTGTAAATTGTGAGTTTAACTCGAGCTCCATTTCATCTCCACCAAGTGCAGGATAAGGTGCCATTCCTCAGGAATTATAGGCAGCAATATTAGTCCCTGGGTATGGCATTACCATATCTGGGATGATTTAGGGACAATGAAATCCCTGTGCCATCAAGCTGCGTGATTCTTCTGACACAAATGATCCTGCAACTCAATATCCACGGGATGCACTCGCTGAATTTAGTCCATTTTCCTTCCTTGTTSCCTTTCATCCCACCCGTGGCAGGGTTTGGGGATGGGAGAAGGATCCTGTGGCTTTTTCCAAATAGAATTGAGCTCTGTGAAGGCAAAAACTGCTGCAGGGGGAAATGATTCTGAAACTCAAAACTGTTAATCCTAGGGCAGTGCACTGGGAGGAGCAGGGATTTGGAGAGTTCTGACTTGATCCAGGTCACTTCTTCTCATGGGGTTTTAGCCCAATCCACTTTCAATTTAACCTAAAACCATGCTTGGGGGAAAAGTGGTTCTGTAGGATATTGGGAGGTGAGCACTGGCTGGCAAATTGCTCATGTTGACTTTTTTGGGGGGACTCCAGACTTTGATCTATAATTCTTCAGTAATTTCAGTGTTCTTAAGATCCCAGCAAAATCCTGAAGTAGCAGGAAAACAAGGATAATTCCCAGTACCTGCCTGCAGCATCCCAAAGGTTTCAGCCCTGTGCCAGGGCCTCCCCACCCTCACAGGAGCAAATTTCTTCCCAAATCCTATATAACCCTACAGGATGCTCTGTCTTTTAAATTGGAAAATACTTGCACATTGTTGAGCAGCACTCCTGAAAGGAGATGGTCAGGATTTTCATCTTCRTTTCCATCAAACTCTGATGTTCTCCTGCTTCCCAAAGCTCCAGCAGGACAAAACCAAACCCAGCAGCACAAATCCCATTCCTCACAGACACACCAGGGACAATTTCCCATGTAAAATGATTACAATTTAGCAGAAAAAAATGCCTGTTCAGCTTCAGGCAATGCAGATTTGTGGTGCCTCGAAGCACGAAGCAGGCACAGGCTGCAGCTCAGTGCCAACTTTAATTTATACAACTAATTATTTGGATTTACTGGCTTTAGCATCCCCCACTCTCTATTTGCTTAAGGAGAAATGGATGAGCCCTGTGTGTCAAGTCRAGCCCAACAGGACAATAATTCCAGCAGTGCAGGGCACAACAGTGGGAAACACCTCAGATGGAGCAAAGCTTGGAATCCCAGCCCCAAAAATACTCAAGAGGAGGCAGACACCACTTAAAATCACAATTTCTCTGCTTGGCTGGAGAAAACATCCCGCCTGAAGCCACACAGGGCAGCACAGACTGCTGGGGGTGGAAAGATGAAGTTAAGGAGTAACTTYTTCAACAAAGAGCAACCCTGAGATTGCCCTTCATTAGCAGCACTTTGTTTAATGACTGAGGGTGAAGAGGTCACCCAAGCACAGTGATGGACACAGGAAAACACCAGCACATTCCAGCTGCCAACTTGGCCACCAGCAACCCCTTTAAAACCCAAATTCCTTTGGAAATACTCTTTTTGTAGATGCACAACAGCGTAAGACTGTACAAAACAAGGTAGGCTACTTCAGACTTCTGATTTTAAAAGATATATTTTTATGTAGTTTAATTGATATTATTGGGTGACATCCCAATTTCACCACACAGAGCCAGGCTGTGGCCAGGTCCCAGACCATTCCACAGCTTTGAGACCCATCCCTCCTGGAATTGGGAAATTTGGATTCATCAAATAAAAAATTTGGATTTAACCCCACAGGGATGTCCCAGAGCTCGTCCCAAATCACCTCCCTTGGAGAACCTGGACAAGMAACAACCTCTTTCCCTTCTGGGAAGCCACAGCCTTTCCAGAGCCACATCCCACTGCTTGGCTGCTCCAGCATCACAAGTTTGGGTGGCTGTTTCTGGGTGGGGTTTATTGAAAATTATTAAAAAAAAAAGATTATTCATCTTTATTTATTTCCTATTAGACATACCAGCTATGAAAACACAATACAGAGCAGTTCCTAAGGTACATCCCAAACTGCTTTGTGTGTGTGCAGATGTTCCAGAGCACTTCCAGCACTCCTGACAGCAGAAATTTCTGAATGTGAAACTCTGCCCTGTTCGTTTTCACTGAATTCTCTCTGAAATCAGCACAGGTTGAAACAGGTCACTGAACTTAATCACAAACAGACACTGAAATCCCAAGAAAGGCCAAGCAGGGATGGGAAAAATATTCCATCTGACAGTCACTGACGGAGACGTTTCCACAGGGGGCTTTTGGTTTGGCTCTGCTCTGGAGTTTAAGTAGCAACTGTAAAAATGGGGCATTTTTACTCAAAAAATCTCATCTCCTGCTTAGTCACTACCACAGCCAGGTCTGGATTCGATTAGCAGGAGCAACAATACTCAAGTTTAAGTGCAGAAATGTAACACATCATCAGTTTTATGGAGCCAGTTCTGGTTTCACTCCCAAGAAAAACTCACCAGAATTTACTTTTCTCTGCAGCAAAAATCACTGTATTCTTCCCCATTTTGTACAATGCTACATTTCAGAAAATAAATCTCAGAAGATTCACTTCTATGTTCCATTTTCAGCCTCMTAGTAAGCCAAAGCTTTAAAAACAWCCTGCAGTGATCTAGCTTTAAGGCAAGGAAACCTCACTTTTAGGTAAGGAAATCTTGCTTTTCAGGTGTGAATTATGACAGAATTAATTATCTGAATGAAAATACAAATATAGACATGCACACAGCAAATGTTCTTAAACCACATGAGAGGAAYTAAAGGCAAGAGAAATTAGAGAGCATTAAGAACAGTCCAAGCCAAACCGTATCCAGCTTTATTAAAGGTAATTTCATGAACAATCATGGTAATTTAGGCAGGACATGGGCTACAATCTGCAACATTTTACAACAACTGTCAGACTCCCCTCCCTTTGTGGACTATTGAAATGGAAAATTGCTATAAACYGTTCAGAATCTTCAGCTCGTACTTGTAGAGGGCAAAGTTTAGAGTGAGGGTGGACATGTTCACATCAGCGTGTTGTTTGACAACTCTGCACAACCCAACCCTGACTTTGAGAGGAAAATTAAAATTTAAAGGCAKGTTTCTGTATCTGAGGATCCACAATAGAAAAGAGGAAGTGCAGCTCCCTTTTGAGGCAGTATATCCCAGACTGGAGAGCAGAAATCCACATCACCTGACAGTGGATTGAGTGTGGAATGTCCCAAAATGCCACTTTTGCTGTGGTTTGGAGTGACAGGCTCTGGGTAAACAGGGAGACACCAAAGGAGAACTGGTGGCATTGGGATTTGGAGCAGGCAACAGCATCTTGGGAGCTTTGATGTTCACTTGGACAGAACTGACACGCAGCATGGGGGAATCCCTTCCTCCTCCCTTCAGGAAGGGCTTTTCTTCCAAAAACTGGGGGACTGGAAAAAGCTTTTCTTATTAAAATTTAGGTTTTGAGAAATAAGACTAAATGACATTTGTCCCCACTGCCCCCCACCCCCCCAGAACACAACAACGAAGCGGTCTGTGTGCTAACAACATAGCTTAAAAAAAAGTAAACCAAAATTCTGCATTGTTATAAAACTTGATAAAAAATAGTATTTCAAACTGTACAGTCACCAGAAGTACACAGTTATCAAAAATTCACACGTTTTACTTGGCTTCACCAGCACCTTCGGCTTTCTGTGCCTGAAAAGAGAAAGGGGAACAAGTCAACACATAAAAAATTGGACTTTTGTTTTTTAAATAGCAAAACCCTGAGCAAAACAAATCCTCTCTCAGTTGCAGACTTCTGGTTTTTAATACAATTAAATCTTAACATCTGCGGCACCCTAAAACACAACTTAGAAGTTGCTTTGTGAACTCCACAAGAAGAACAGTAACTTCCATGTGGMAATGTCCCCTGGCAGACAACTTTAAATCTTTACCAACACCTCCCAGTTTGTTTTAAGTGTGATAAGCCACACTTCTTGTTGCCACAAGCAAACTCTCCCCATTTGAGAGTGAAAGAATCAATCCTGGTGAAGGACAAGCTGCTGGGATACCTGGTCTGTTTTGGCATCTCCATTTTCTGCAGGGTTGTTCCCCTCCTTGCCAGCATCAGCTTTTCCCTTCTTCCCCTTGGGCACCTTCTCGCTCTTCTGGAAATGCAAGACAACATTTGCTGTCAGCTCCCAGCAGCCAGACAGAGCCCCAGCCCCAAAACCAGGCTGAGAGCTGTGTGCTGGCCCCAAAAAAACACAGCACACCAGTGTTTGTTTAAGGGATTGACAGCAAGCATGAAGAGTCTCTTCACTTYGGTATTTTTTATGCAAATTCTGCAAAATCTGCAAGTTTTCAGTTCAGCTTTATGCAGCGACAATGCAGCTCCGTTTCCTCGCTACACAGCTGTTTAATTAAAGGTTTATTAATTATTGCCAGGCCATGCTAAAGTGCATCACCCCTGATTTAGCTCTCCAAACAGCCCCTGACCCCACTCACCTTTGGAGCTGCTTTTTTAGGTTTGGGCTCTGGCTTTGGAGGAGCGGGTTTCTGCAAGGGAGAGAAAAGCTGTGTTAGAGAYTCATGGAAAGGTTTGGGTGGGAAAGGACCTCAAAGCTCAGCTGGTCCCACCCCTGCCATGGCAGGGACATCTTCCACTGTCCCAGGGTGTCCCAATGTCCAGCCTGGCCTTGGGCATTGCCAGGGATCCAGCCCTTGTGCCAGGGTCTCAGCACCCTCACAAAAAAGAATTTCTTCCCAATTTCCCATTAAGCCATGCCCTCTGGCAGTGGGAAGCAATTCTTGACCTGTTTTTCCATGTCCTTGTGACAAGCCCTGCTGCAGAGAAACAAATCACCTTTTTTTTTTTTTTTAATACAGGCCTTAGTATATAATACTAAAAAACTAATAACTTAGTTTTAGGAAAGTAAATCAAAACATTTGAAACTGCAGCAGTCATTTGATTTGTCAATTATTTTACCACTCCCACAGCACCACACAAGGGGCCACATCCTTAAGGCAGGAACTTATTTTCAACTAACAAYTGGTGTCTGCAAAGCACCTCCAGCTCTACACGTATTTACAGAGCCAGTGCTCAAGTGTAAAACCASCAAGGGTTGTGACATCTCTGCCCAGCAAGAGGATACTCACAGCAGATAACCTCGCTGAYCTCCGCTGGGGCTGTTGGAAAAGGAAAAAGGTTTTATTGGAATGACATAGGAACTCTCAAAATTTCACAAAGTAACTCTCTTTTCAAAGTAGGAAACCCCCAGAAATTATGTTTTATAGTTCTTTAGTTTTTAGAAATTAAGGTGGTAGTTCCCTTTTGATGTGTTCTTGAGAAAGATGAGGCTATGCCACTGAAATCACTACTAGTTAATGATAGTTAAGTAGATTTTTCACAGTTAAAAGTAGATTCCTCATGCTTAAGAYAGTTAAGACTTTGAAAAGTCAGAATAAATTAAGACCAACCCTCCCCCCCACTCCCCAGTTATTTTGATTACGTTAAACCTCATCTTCCAACGGAAACACTTGMTGATCCAACTTTCTCCAAACACTCAACTTCTTACCTCATCCTTAACTTTGGCCTTATCGCCCTTGGTGTCTCCTTCAGCCTGGGGACAGGGACACAGGTTTTAGGCACAAGTGATGGCGAGGACCCCGAGTCCCCAGACTTTAACCCCCAATATCTCCCGGGAATCATCCCCATCCCACCCGCGGCGGGCACGGGCTCCTCCCCGCGGGGCCGGGGCGGGGGATGGCGGGGCACAAGCCCACAGAGCCGCGGGCCAGGCGGGGCTGTCGCTGTCGCTGTCGCTGTCGCTGTCCCCTCCCTCAGGGCGGCCCCCCCCCTTCCCGCCCCCGCCGTTTT